AGTAAAAAAGTTTAAACTTTGCAACAGGTATTCTGAGATGTGACTATATATATATTTTTTTGTCAGCCTATTTGGGAAAAAAATGGAGGAGTTCATTTTTTGGTTATTTTTAGAAGCATTTTAAAGTTCATCAGTCATGCTACTAAATTTAATTTAACTAATGGTTATATCTTTAATCATGTTTTAATGTTCATCAGTCATACTAAATTTAATTTAACTAATGGTTATATCTTTAATCATATTTTAAAGTTCATCAGTCATACTAAATTTAATTTAACTAATGGTTATATCTTTAATCATGTTTTAATGTTCATCAGTCATACTAAATTTAATTTAACTAATGGTTATATCTTTAATCATATTTTAATTTGAGATTAAAGTGGGACAGTTGAGACCGAAATTTATTAAAATTCTTTTAGTTTAGTTAGTTATTTAGTTTATTATGTTTAAAGGTATTTTTTTTCTCATCAGTGGAAAGGTTATCATGGTTAAAACAATCCTGCATAAAAACTTATTAGATAATTTTATCTGCCTCTCTTTGAGGAACCCATTTGCAAAATGTACTAAGTCAGAAAAAATGGATTTTGAGAAAATGATGAAAAATTGAACTAGTTATATTTGCGCTTCTACAGAAATTCTTTTATTTATTTTTAGGACAAAAAAATTTAAGCTTTCTAATATTTAAATAGATGATAGATTTCAACTTTTTTACGTGCCTTTAAAAACTTTAGTGAGTCCATAAAAAAGCGCTTGTCAAAAACATAAAAGCATTTTTTTTAATTGCAACTAATCTTTTTTGTTCATCATATGTTTTTATGGAAAATCATGAATATACTTTAATGTATAATGTATTTTATTTAGAATTGAAATAAAACTTTGTTTTGCTGTTTTGATTTGAATTATCTTATTAGAATTTAAATAAAAATAACTTTTGTTTTGCCATTTTTAATGTAGTTATTTTATTTAGAACTTAAGTAAATAGTTTTTTTGTTTTATTTTTGTTTTACTTTTTTATTTATTTTTTGTTATTTTTATTTTAATTATTATAATTTAGAACCTAAATAAAAAATTAATTTTGAAGTTTTTATTTCTTTATTTTATTTAAAATTTAAATAAAACAATTTTTTCACCATTTATTCTTTTAATATTATCTTGTTTAATATTTATATAAAACATTATTTGTTTTGTTGTTTTTATTTTATCTAGAATTTAAGTAAAATATTTGTTTTACTGTTCCTTTTTTAATAATTTAATTTAGAATTTATTAAATGCATTCTTTTCAATAAATATAGTTTGTGATTTTTATCTAAAGGTGTCTTAAATTTGATATGGTTATCTTTTGTAATCAACTTAAACCTAGTTTAAGTCTAATTGCCCAATATTTAGTACATGCTTTTTTCATGTTCATTTTCTAATTAATGAGTCCCTAATATTAATTAAAAAATAGGTCAACTTAGTACTTAGTCAACTTGGGACTTTTTACTAGTAATTTAGTAATAGTAAGTATTAAAAAAAAAGAAATCTTAGTATATCAAAAAACTTACAAAAGTTCATGTTTTTTATTTTTAATAACAAAGTATAGTTTTTCTTATTAAAGTGGTACAAAAAACAAATAAGTTTTTTGATATACTAAGATTTCTTTTTTTTTTTTTTAAATTTTTTTCTTCAATAAAATCTAAAAAAAATAAATATTAGATAATTGATCTTATAAAATATTATATAATAATTGCTAATAAAATTTTAACTTATAAACTTATCAATTATAAAATAGCTATGCTTAAATTAATCACAAATGATAACTGCAGCACATATAAAAAACTGAGTTAAGATTTCTTATGTAAAGGTAGTTTTCAAGCACCCTAATATATACACACACACACACATATATATATATATATATATATATATATATATATATATATATATATATATATCAGGCCTTGTTAAGAAGCGTTACGCAGCTTGCATTTTGCCTGCGAAAAGGCGATTTGCCTACGCGTTCAGCAGTTATGCGTTACGCAAAAACTTTATCTTTAAGAATATTTAAATTATCTTTTTATATCGTTTATGTGACGTTCATTCAGAAGTATTAAAGTCGTAAGTAAAAGCATTTAACCGCAATTGTAAACTAATAGATTTTTTGTTAAAGAAACAATTTGTTTAATAATTTTTTTTTTGTTTTTAAAAATTACTCAAAGAAAATAAATTAAACTTTTCATCATATTTAATTTTAAATATTAGATTTCATAAGTTTATAAACAATCAAATTTAAAAAAAGAATAATTTTCAATTTATTTTATTAAATTTAAATATTTTTTTAATAATTATAGTTTTTAGTAAATAAATTTATTAAATTTAATTAAAATTCTTTCATTTAATTTTAAAACAGAGCATTTTAAAATTTTTTAATTTTAAAATGCTCCGTTTTTTTTATAAAATTACCAAAGTAAAAAAAGATATGATAAATTTAATTCAAGTTACTTTAAAATGTTCGTATTACATATAACTTTATTTTAATTTTAGTTAAGTTTCAGGTAAGTTCCAAATACTGGTCTGAAAGATGCGCTTACAAAAGCGCATTATTTTCCAGTTTTTATTTTTCCATTATTTTACTGTATCATTCATTATTTACAGAAGCGCATTATTCATTTTATAACTACATGTTAATAAATGACGTCAATACTTTTAAACTCGAGTTATAAATGTTATGTTTGGGTTTTCCCTTTGCCGTTTGCCAAAGAATTTTTTTTAAAACAAACCAAGGACGTATTAACAATACGTCCTTGAACAAACTAAAATACAAACCTATTAAAAATAACGTGATCAGTAAATAAACTCTTTAAAAACCCAACTTATCTTTATTTTATTTTAAAAACAAAACTAGTACTTGAACTATAAATATAAGATACATAAATTTCAAAATTATAATGATATTTGTTAAAAACAAATTCTGCTTATAACATCTGAAAACCGAAAACACTATTTTTTTTTCGGATTGAGAAAAAAAATATTAGGTTTCACTGTACATAAAAATAAAATAGTTTAATCGAAATAAAAAAAAAAACAAAGCCGAAAAAGCAGTAAATTTCGTTTCTTTACAAACATTTATTTTATCAAAACAAACGTTTTTTTTTAAAAGGGAAAACCCAATCTATGCGTTTAGTTATAAGTACATTTAAATCCCTTTAAGAAAATCAACCATAAACAAGTGTTAAATTTAAATTATTTAAAAAAAAAAAACAACCATAAAACGAATGTTTAAAAGCAAAAAAATTAATTTAAATAAGTATAAGATTTTAATACAAGAAGACTTTTTTTTAACCAACATTGAAATTTTTTTTTTTATAACAACATTCTACAATTTAAATTTAAAAGTTTCAAAGACTAACAATAGTTTTTAATGTCATTTTAAATTTAATTACAATGAAGTAAAAACGCAACTGACGTAAATTAACTTTTAACAATGTAAATATCTTAATTGAGTAAAGTTACATTTATTCACGTTCAGCTTTTCCGTTACGCAGCGAAATCTCGTAACAAGGCCTGATATATATATATATATATATATATATATATATATATATATATATATATATATATATATATATATATATATATTATAATAACATATATATTTTAAATGCATGTTGAAATTACTAAATTAGTTTTGTTTTTTTTTGCTTAAATATTTTACTTTTTTTAATTGTGTACAACACTACTTAGCACCTTTGACAACCAAATTAATAACCAATTAAAACTATTAAAACACATTAGTTCAAAATTTTTAAACTTTCCTGGAACTTAAGAACAGTATATGGCTTCTTTTTATAACGGAACTACTTGCAATATATTTTTTTTTGACCAATAGAACAAACAAGCAATATAAGACTAAAATACTTACATTATCAAAAATAAAATGTTAATTTGCTATGGACTGGATCTTTTAACAGCCTTTTTCTAAAGACAAGATACAAAAACACATTTTAAACTTAGTTTAAGTTTGGCTGCTAGAACAGGTTTATTTTTTTGACACAACAGCCAAAAATGAACTTTTTATTTAACTCATATTTTATTTAAAAGATATTTTTAGTTAAAATAGATTTTTAAGTTTATTTTTAAAAAGAATTTTTAGAGGTTATTGTAAAAATTTTAGTAAGTTAAAGAAATTGATCTCTTTTAACGCTTTAACTTTTTGCATAACTGTTTCCAGTAGTTGACATAAGAAGTCTAGCATTATATTGAGATTATTATTTTTTTAATTTTATTTTGTATTCACCTCTCAAAAGCCCATTTTAGTTTATTTTTATTATTAATTCACTCGATTATTGTTATACACTCCCTCACCCTTTGAATTTAAAACACAAACCTTGACAAACAAGGCGGTTACGCAGATAAACATGTTAAATGTTAAGTAGATAAATATGTATATATAGTAATAAAATAAATATATTATTGATGCATATTAGAGATTTTTGTAGAATCTTTAAGGTGTCATTAACTAAGGTAAGTCTAGTATTACTTTAATACATGGGTCCAATCTTATTATCTATCCCAAAGGTAAGGTACTTTCAGGGACATGTGTTTGAACTTTGTAATTTTTGCTTATAAAGCTAACATAACATGATCAGTACCAGACCTTCTCATAAAGTTTGTGGTTGAACACCTTATATGACACAGTATTTTGTTTTGACAATTTGGCCAGAGCACTTTGTATGTTTTGATAATTTTTAAAGTGGCCAAGTTGTCAAAAAAAAAATATTTATATATGCGTGGACACTAAAAGCCTGCGTCTAAATGCTTCTAACGAAAAGTATCGGTAATGATGCTATAGTGATTGATAACCACTGTAATAGTAGTACAAGCATATAAATTTAAAATTATTTGGTTATAAAAAATATTATTTTATTAAGCTAAAATCAGATTAAAAATTAAGTTAAAAACTCTTTTAAAACTAGCCTTAAACAATATACATATATTTTATTGATCACTTTTTTTGTTAGGTTGTTACTATGAAAAACTATCGTCATTTAAACATCATTGAGCTGTATGATGCATACTTAGTTGGTGATGAACTTTGGGTTGTCATGGAATACCTAGATGGTGGAGCTTTAACTGATATTGTTACTTATAAGAGGTACTTATAAGAATATTATTATTATTATTATTATTATTATTCATTATTAGTAGAGAGAGAGAAAAAGAGAGAGAGAGACAGTTGCAAAACAATTCGTTTTTTTCCTAAGGGGTTTTTTGGTGCTTTTCCTGCTTTTTTTTAGCAATTTTTTTTTTTTTTTTTTTTCGCATAAATTTTGAAATAGTTTTCCTTTATTCTAGTATATTTTTCACTTATAAACACCAGTTTAACTTATTTTTAATAAAAAAATAAATTAGCTATAACAGGCTTGGTCGGGAAGCGGGAGCGATCGCTCTCGATTGCTGACCACGTAAATAATATTTAGTTGCGAAAAACTGGCCAGATTTTTTAGTAGTTTTGAGAACATTTTAAAATTATTTATTAGATTAATTGGACCGATGAGAGACAATTACAAAAAAAAAAAGTAAGCAAATAAAATATCTTTTAACGCGAAAAAACTTTAAGCTAAATAAATTACATTCAGAACAAATATTTACGAAACATCGCTTTTTTATAATTTTTTTTATAAAATTAGGCGATGTTTTTTATATAAAGTAACAACTTACAATTGTTTAAAAGGGAAACAAATACTCTTTATTTAACTTTTTCCAAGTTTTTGTTTTTCTTAAGCTTAATTTATTTTATAAATAAAAAAGTTAATTTTTTTAATACCTATTTTATGTTTCGCGTAGTTTGAAAAGTTTAACATATTTGAAGCGATTCTTCTTAGTAAGATAAACTAATGAAATAATTAAATCATTGAATTACTATAGGAATTAAATTATCAAGATAGAAATCAACTAAAAAGGTTAAAAATACGTAATGACCAGGAAGCGAAACTGCTTTACAATATCGCTGATGATGTTTAGTGAGTGGGTTTTTAATTTTAATTAGTATTTAAAGCAGAAAAAAGTATAACGAGTTTTAAGAATGGCAACTTAAGCGAAAATAATTAGAGTTAGTAAACCAATATCTAGAAACTTTTCTTTATATCTAACTATTTGCTATTATATATTTGTGTTCTGTCGTGACTTCAGAAGCGATGCTTGTTCATCCGCGAGTTACTTTGTATGCGTTGTTTGTGTTAAGTAACCAGAAACTTCTTATATGTTAGTTACATAATTAGTTTTATTAACTTAAACGATTATAACTTCATTGAAAACGCAATTATTTTTGTAAGTCTTTGTTCATAATCATAAAAATTGCTTTAAAAGATACATTACGATAAAAAACAAATACACAAAATTACGTTTACATAAAGAATACAATCTCTTTTAAAATAAAAAATAAGAATACACTAATAAAATCTATGATTTATAATAAACTTTTAAAATTTTAACAATTTAATTAATATATATTTAAAACATTTATTTTCGTACAAATAATATATATTCTTTAATAATATATATTCTTTAAATAATATATATATTCTCTCTAACAAATAATATATATTCTTAAAACAATACTAGAAATCTCAAAACGTAACAAATCGTGAATAATTACTAAAACATTTTAACAGAATACTCTAGAACTTTATTTCGCTTAATCAGTGTATTTTTTGAACCAATAGAATTAGGTTGTTTGTTAATTTGGCGGGTTTTTAGTGTTCACAAATATTATTTTTATTCTTTCGCACGAAGATAATTTGAGAACATTCTAGTTTATTATGTTTCCATGTATGTCCGTAAAACAAAAATTCTTTGTTTCGTACATAAACTTAAATGTTCTCAAAACGACTAAAAAACCTGGCCAGTTTTACGCAACTAAATATAATTTCCGTGGTCAGTATTCGAGAGCGATCGCTCCCGCTTCCCGACCAAGCCTGCTATAAGTTAGTTATAAATCTAGGCATACTGTCAGTCTTCTTCGTTAGAAATTTACAACTAGCGCACAAAAAAGCGCTGGCCGGACAGTAATTATTGGTCTGGCGTGCACAATTTTAAAAAATATTTATTTTTTGTACCTCTTTAATTAGAAATTTTTTGGCAAGCGTCTAAAAAAGTGCCAGCCAGTATTGGCTGGTGTGTGGGCGAGCTCAAAACTGCAAGAGCGCGAAAGGGCTTATTAAACAGAGAAGACTGTATTGTATGGAAATGTTTATTTTTCATGTTGTACTTCTTAACAACTGTAATACACTCATTGTACATAGAAACTATTCTTATTCTATAAGAAAGTTATCATTTCAATTTTGATAATGTAAGTATGTTAGTATATAATTCCATGCCAATTTAATATTAGACTTCAAATGCTCAAAGAACTAAGCAATCTATTGAGACTATTTATTTCTTTGAGCATTTGTAGTAAATTATTCTTGCATTGTTTGTTTGTTATATTTGTCAAAAAAATATATATTGTTAGTAGGCCCTTATTAAAAAAGCCCTATACTGTACTTATTTTCAAGAAAAATTTAAAAATTTTGAATTATTATTATTTACTGAGTTTTCCAGACCATCTTCGTATGATGATTTGTAGTTTATTTATTCATAATTTATTTTTTTGTCTGCATTTTTATTACATAGATATTTTTGTATAGGGGTCATTCATAAAGTACGTACGCCAAAAATTTTGAAATTTGAATGTGTGTGCATAGAGGGTAACTATACTCTTGACTCAACCTATACCATACATCTTAATATGTTGGCAAACTAGGATCTTTAATCAGAATTTTAACTTTGCTGATTAATTCTGATAAATTAGAAAAACAAAGTACATACTTTTATTGAATTCTATCCTTGGTTTTGTTTTGTTTTTTATCTACATTAATGATCTTTCTGACAACCTTATACCTAAAGTAGCTCTTTCTGCTGATGACTCAACTTTATACTTCTGTCTTAACAAAAAGTCTTTTTTTAATTGCTTAGATCAAGCAGCTAATCTTGAATCTGATTTCACTTCTGTAACAGATTAAAGTTCGCAGTGGCATGTAAATTTTAACTCCAACAAAACTCAGTTATTTACTGCAAACAATTATTGCAATACTATCGACATTCTTTTGTTAATGAATGGCAATCTGTTCACTGAGCCCTCTTCTTTATATCTTCTTGTGTTATTGTTTACTACTGACCTTTCATTTAAACCATATATACAATCGATTGGTAAATTAGCATCCACTAAGGTTGCTTCTTTTTATTGTGCTCATCATTATATTACCCCTGATTCTATTCTCTACCTCTACAAATCTCTTATTCGTCTCTGTATGAAATTCTGTTGTCATATTTGGGCTGGTTCTTCAAATAATACTCTTTCTCTTTGTAAACGTTTTAATACTCAAAACGCTTTGTAAACGTAGTTGGACCCGCTCTATCTGTTAAGCTTGAGCCTCTTCCCATCGTCATAAAGTTGCATCTCTTTTTCTTTTCTACATATCATGGTTGCTGCTCAAAGGAGTTATCGCCTCTAGTTCCATTAACTAAAATTCATTCTAGCTTGACTTGTCATTTAACTGAGTCTCATTTGTTTATCTGTCGCTGCATACTCCAAAAACTTTTATTTGTCTAGTTTTTTTTAGTGTTGTGACCAAAACTAATAATTGTAACTAACTAAACTAAAAAAACCGTAACTAAAATTAGTCAACTAACTTTTTAGTTAACTAAAATTAGCTGACTAATTTTTTAGTTAACTGAAAAAACCCGACTAACTTTTTATTCTAACTTAAATTAGTTGACTAACTTTTTGGTTAACTAAAATTAAATAAAAAAATATCAAAATAATTTTCTTTGAATTTTCAGTACTAAAGGTTTAACAAGATACTTCAAGAAAATATTTCATAAAAAATCCAAAAAGTAAACATGGTAAAACACAAATATCTTTAGAATTGAACAAGCTACCAAGGACAGCGCAAAGATGTGAGGGAATAGGTTGTGACATCCCATCAATGAACTTTTAGCTTATTTAGTAAGCCAATTTGACTCTTTTAGATAAGTAAGTCGGCAAATGTAGATTTTCAGAACAGTCACTTGGTAAATTTAAAAAAACAAGGATTTTATTTTCCTTTTTCTAGTCAGCTAAAATTTAAACAGCGCTCTCTACATGTTACCTAGTTGTGCCGGCTCTGTAAGCTACTGTATATTACAATAATTCGTTTTTATTATGTGCCACTTTTTTTGGATCCAAATTATAAAATTTTTCAATTCTTTGAAAAGTACGAGAAAAATAAACAAACTTAAAATGCGTTAGAGAATTTTTGTCAGAATTTCATTTGACAAAAAAAGTTTGTGATATAATTCCAGTTAAAAAGGTGACAATCAAATCAAAAAAATGATGATTCCGAAAATGATAGTGACAAAATAATAAGTTTAGATTTAAAAAAAGAAATTAGTGGTTATATAAAATTGTTAGTAAATGAGCAAAATGTTTTTACACTTTTGGCATCAAAATCAACATGTGTTTCCATTATTGTATTGTATTTCAACAATGATTTTATGTACGCTTGCTACCAGTGCACCAAATGAACGCCTTTTCTCTGACGCATTAAATACTTTGAATGCAAAGCAAAACATAATGACAACTGAATGTTTTCAAATGTTGATGTTTTTGTACGAAAATTTAGAATTTTTTAATGTAGTTTAAATTTATTAAATTTAATACTAAAGTTTTTTCTTGTAAAAAATATTTTTTAATACATTTTATTGTTCTTAAATAAATATTATTAAATTTAGTATTCAAACTCTTTTGTGTAAAACTGATTTTTTTTTTGTTACAAAAATGTAAAAAATTAATATAGTTTTTTAAATTTAAAATGTGATTTAAAAAAAAAAAATAGTAAAGAAAAAATTAAAAATTAAAAAAATTAATGTGTAATTTTAATGTTATTGAGTGTGCGGTTTTATCACAATGTTGCCGCAAACTTTTTTTTTTTACCTTTATTATTTTAATAGTAAGATTTTTTAAAAAATGTTTATTTATATATTCTTTAGTATTTTTTTTAACATCTAATGAAAAAATATAAAAATAGATATAATAAAAAAGTTATTGAATTTTAATTGATAATTGTTTTGACCCGGTTTTACATGTATTTTAAAGTGCTTAAAAACTACGTATTGTATTTTTCAAGTAATTAAAACGTCATAAACAATTTCCTGGTTTTAAAAGCGACCACAGTTACTTAATAAAATGTTTTCAATATTCACTTTAGTTCGACTGGGCTCTAGGATTCACAATTAGTAAAGTGTTTAATTACGATAAAATAATATTTATCGCCTTAATAAAGCTTCCTCGTGTGTAAAATTTTTTGCATTGGTTGACTAAATTTAGTTACACTAAATATTTAGTTGACTAATTTGAGTTAACTAAAAAGTTAGTCGACTAATTTTAGTTAGACTAAAAAGTTAGTCGGGTAATTTTAGTTAGCTAAAAAGTTAGTCGGGTAATTTTAGTTAAACTAAAAATTTAGTAAAGTATTTTTAGTTAGATTAAAACTAACCTTAACTCCCACCCCTAGTTTTTTTCCCCTGCATTTCAACCCTTTGGATCCCTCTCCCATCTTCATATTTTCCATACTCATACAACTTACAGCTCTTTAAGTCTTTTATCAACCGTTCATAACTCTATAAATATATTCTTTTGCTAGTAACGCCTAACTTAATACTGGTCGCATGCCTTGTTGGGAGTGAATCAGAATATATGTGTATGTGTATATATATATATATATATATATATATATATATATATATATATATATATATATATATATATATCAGGCCTTGCGATAAAGCGTCGGGCAATGTGAATTTTACGTCGGCCAAGAGCGATTTTGCGTGTAGCTAGGGCTATTTGCGTCGAGCAAAAAAAGTTTTGTTTGAGTATTTTTAAAGATATTTTTGAGCGGAATTTTAATGAAGTAATTTACTATTATTTTAACATTTAATAAAGTATTTTAAAAACCGCATGCAGTTGATACAAAAGTTTGATTTACAAAAAAATTAAATATGCTCATTATTTACAAGTAGAAAAAATTCAGATAAAAAAAAAAGTTTAAATCTTTTTAAGGTAACATTTTAATAAAATTATTCAGCAATAGCAAAGTTGCCGATAAAATTGAACAAAAATACTTTCTTTTAGTTTTAGATATTTAACTTAAATAATTATTTTACGGGGGTTTGTTAGGTTTTAAATTATTCCATAGATTTAAAAATATTTATCAACTGTTCGAGGTGTTTAAAGTATTTAAGAGTAATTTTGAGGAAACATTTTTAAAATTGTTAAGCGCAAATAAAAAAAAATTAAAGGAATAATATTAAAACGTATATTAAAATTTTTGTAAAAAGTAACTCAAAAAAAATTACTTAAATAATAACAATCGCTTTTTTGTTAAAAGTTACCGAAACTCAACGAAGCATGCTCAAGATCAGCTGCTGAAAATAGAACGTCAATAGTTTTTCGAATAATTTTTAAGAATAATTTTTTCGCCGAAATATGTCTTTTATACCTATAATATTTTTATTCTAACATTTTATTTTATTTTATTTTACCAAAAATAAAATTCCTTGTAAACATTAAAAATCTATTCAAAACGTTCGTTAAAGTTTTTTAGTAATACGAGTGATTGTGCTTATCAACCGCTTTATGAAAATAAATAAAAATAAAAAAATATTATATAAAATCGCTAGTAAAAATATTAGCTATTGCACAGTTTTTAATCGTACAATATTAAAATTTCCAGTTTATTACTCACTGACTTTTTAAAAAGAAAAAATAATTATTTGAAAAACTTTAAAGTATATATTTGAGGAAAAAAAAAAATCAAATATTAGCATATTTTATAATCTTTTTTAAAATGTTTAGTTATAATGTTTTTTATTCGTTTAGTATAGACAAAACGTGTCAAACGTCAAGAAAATAAACAAATGTTTTTACATTTTAAAAAACGAAACATTCCAAAACATTTTTAAATAATAACATTTCTACATTAATGATTTAAAGTAGTTTTGCGGTAATTAAGTAAATTGGTGCAGTTAATGTCGATAAATATGAAAAGCAAATAAAAAGAATTTAATGACGTCAAAAACCACGTCATGCTTATGCGTCGCGCAGTTTTTATTCATCACAAGGCCTGAAACGTGTCACTTCTCTCTCTCTCTATCTTCATTTATTCTATTCTATTGTTATGCATACTTGTTTGTTGAACTTTTTACTTCTTCACATTCATTTGTCCATCAGGTATAATTAAACTAATCAGACTAATTGAAACTTGGTTTGTTAAATCAAGCAATAAAATAAAAAAAAGCATAAATCCTATCAAACAAATTTGGTAACAATTATTTTGAGAAGATTTTTTATATTATCATATATAATAATATCATTTTTCTCAGTACAAATTATTTTTGTTGGTCAAGTTTTGGTTTTTTATGCAGTTGTCTATAATTATTAAGTATTCATCTTTTTATTTAGAATATTATAATTTATTTTTTTCTCTTTAATATATTTATTAGGTTTTTTAACCTTAGTGAAGTATGCTTATAATTTTTTAGCAAATAATTAATATTTAACAACTTTATAAATTATAATCTACATATTGAAGATGATAATTTATAAATTATAAAAAAGTACATTTATACTTTTTTATTAAATATGTTATATTTAGATTTTAAAAATTATTTGGGCAATGTTTACATAGATGCTAAATTTTTATTATAAATATGATTATAGAAATGTTTTTTTATTTATATAATAAAATAATAAATTATTTAGTTATTTTTTGACACTTCATAAACCATTATTTAGATTAAAAGAAGAAGAAATTGCATACTTTAGCAAGAGTTGCTTAAAGGGTTTGGAATACTTACATTCCCAAGGTGTTATTCACCGAGACATAAAAAGTGACAGTATACTAATGTCTAAAGATGGACAAGTAAGTTTTAATTTTTATTTATAGACTTGTTTTTATTTTTAAAATTACTTGATGGTGACTATGACGATGATAATAATGATGAAGAGGAGGAGCAGAAGGAGGAGAACAAAAACAATGATAGTAATTTTTTTTTTTTGTCGATTGTAAAAATATCTCAATATAAAATTATCTCATTATCTCTAAAAAATTTTGTGAGCAACCCTTTATAATGATGTAAGGTTAATTAGTAGGGCTAGTGTAACTGCAAAGCTAATTGCTTGAGGTGTCTTGCTCTATGATTGATTCAAGTTCTTTTTAACTTAAAACATGACTAAAGTACCAAAAAATATTTAAACTAAAAAACTATCACCACTGCCTAATTGTTTTCATGCTCTTTGAAATAATTTTTCATCAGTTGAATCTTACCTTTTGCAAAACTCATCAGACTTACTAACTGCTGACCTGAAAGTGTTTGAAGTCGGCAAAAAATTACCAACCTTGTTTCTATGTTTTGTGATCAGACCTTTGTATCAAATAATTTTTGCCGACCTCAAAAAGATTGAGGTCGACAATAATTTGCCAACCTCATTTTTCCTAATTCCAAGGATTAATATATATATATATATATATATATATATATATATATATATATATATATATATATATATATATATATATATATATATATATATATATATATATATTTTGGTTTATCTCTGTTTGTAGCTTGTGTTTAGCTGTGTTGGTTCTGATCCTAGCTTGAGTTTTTAGTTTCTTTCTTGATTTTCTTTGTGTCAGTTCTTGTGCGAATATCTTTCATCTCTTTCATCTCAAATGCGCCACCTAAACAATCTCCTAAATCCAAAAAGGTATGGAAAAATTTATTTCTTCTCTTTGGTTCAAAATCTCATTTTATCCCACTGTTTTTATCTTCTTGTGCAGCTATTATTTCTAATTTTAATTATTTTTTTCATCTTTTTTTTACTCTTAATTCTCTAAATTAAACTCTCTTAATTCTTTTTTGTCATTTTCGAGTCAAACCTTATTCTATGCATTGATTTTCACCTTCTAGTTAGTTGTTATTTCAAATCATAATCATTTTTTCATCTTTTCTAAAACATCATAGAACAAATATTTATTACTGCTAAATCAATGTAAAAAAGCGCTGTCTGATGCTAAGCTCCAATATTCTCAGTTTACTGATGCTAAGCTCCAATATTCTCAGTTTACTGATGCTAAGCTCCAATATTCTCAGTTTACTGATGCTAAGCTCCATAATATTCTCAGTTTACTGATGCTAAGCTCCAATATTCTCAGTTTACTGATGCTAAGCTCCAATATTCTCAGTTTACTGATGCTAAGCTCCAATATTCTCAGTTTACTGATGCTAAGCTCCAATATTCTCAGTTTACTGATGCTAAGCTCCAATATTCTCAGTTTACTGATGCTAAGCTCCAATATTCTCAGTTTACTTTTGGATTTTAGAAGTTCTAGAGATTTTTGTAACATCTTTAACAGTCATTAACAAAGATCTAATATTTCATTTTTAATAGATTAATACATGGGTCTGATCTTATTACCTCTCCCAATGGTAAGATAAGTATTTGCAAAATACTTATTTGTTTTTTGATTTGCTTTTCCTCTAATTCATCATTTAATTTGAATGCTTACTCTCTTCCTGCCAATTTCACTCGAACAGGTTAACCCATTGTTAAACATCAAAATCACTCCGGTTTCTGTTGCTAAAATCATCTCTTAATAAAACTCTTCTACATCCAGACAACAGTCCTTTTATATATTTTTACAAAAGTGTTCTTCAAAGTGTTCTTCTTAATCTTACAAAAGTGTTCAAAATTCTTTTCAACACTCTTAAACTACTTTTTTTTTTTTTTGAATAACAAAAAAATAAAAGACAAGGAGGCTACTTAATAGTGGTTATAACCCTCTCTCAACTCTATAACTCTTCTCTCAACTCTATAACTCTTTAACTCTATAACTTGATTAGTCTGAATCAAGTTATAGAATTTAAAGAATTTTAAAATTAGTCTTGATTTCTTTGAATCTTTTTTTCTTGCCTTCTGGAAAATGGCATTTTTTAATGGCATTAGTTGTTACAGTTTTTAAAAACTCTTAACACTTTGACCCCTATAACTTATGTCCTATTACAACCAATTCAAATTTTGATCTTATTTTTCTTCATTTTTATAACAAATAGAGCAAAAAACATAACATTACTGTTTTCATATTTGGTCTGGGTCTAATAATGATGCCTTTGCTTCCACTTCACAATAACCTAAATAGTACAATCATTACTTCTAAGCTCGCAATTCCTTTTTTTTTAAATCGCTGTCAAAATTTACAGTATCCAGCATTCATTTTATCAGTTGTGGCATCTAAATTAAATTTGATACACTTTACTTTTTTTTAAGTCAACTGTTTCCTAGCAATAATCAACTTTGATACAATTTACTTCTGTCAACTGTTTCCTAGCAACAAATTAATTTACTTATAATAACAATATTATTTGTTTATATAATTTAATTAATTTAAAAAAGTATATATATATATATATATATATATATATATATATCACATTACCATTACTCTAAACCATTTCCATCATTACACACCAACACCACATTTTCATCATTTCCATCATTATACACCAACACCACATTCACACCATTTCCATCATTATTCATCAACATCACATTCTCATCATTTCCATCATTATTCATCAACATCACATTTCCATCATTATTCATCAACATCATAATCTCATCATTTCCATCATTATACACTAATAACACATTCACACCATTTCTAACATTATACACCAACATCACATTCACACCATTTCCATCATATACATCAACATCACATTATCATCATTTCCATCATTATATACCAACATCACATTCCCATTATTTCCATCATACACTAATGTTACATTCTCACCATTTCCATCAATATACGCCCACATCATATTCACACCATTTCCATCATTATTAGGTTTTTAAGATTTTTTTGATTAAATATTTAAAAATCATGAATGTTACTTTTTTATCACGACTGTTATCGAGAAAAAAAACCTAATCTAAAAATTCTAAAATATAACTAAAAAAGTAAATTTTTATTCTCTTGAGAAAAAATGTACTAGCAAATCAAAAATGTTTTTACCCTTACATGATAATGTAAATGGTCGGAAAATATAATTATGTTAATTGTGATGATCACAAAAATATATTTATATAGTTTCAGGAAGTTTCTTTTTGAAAAAAAAATTTCCTGAAATTATATTACTTTTTTTTTTAATTTTGTTATGTTCGTCTAATTTTTTTTTAAGGAATGATTTTTTTAAATAAAAATTAATTAAATTTGTCAATTCAAATGTTTTAAATTAAAATAAGAAAAATACATTTATGGCTAAAAAAGATCCTAATATTTATAGCAAAAAACTGCACTGTATAGTATACACGTTTATTACTAAAAAATGTTTGTTGCCATGTTTTTCATGAAAATATCAAACTTTCTAATTTGAATCTAACATGCTGTTCTTCAAAATTTCTATATATTTTGTGAAATTAAATATCTCACCTTGTTATAAAAGGTGTAAACCAGCATGACTGTTGGCAGTGATCGCACCCCAAATCATAACTGTTAGACATTTCTCAACAGAAGGTGCAATATATCAGGGATTAAAGTGTATATTTGGTTACCAACAAACATTGACTTTATGTGCTGCATCTGAGAACAGATTTTCGCACATTTTAACAATTCAATTTTTGTGTTCTTTGCAAAATTTTAGGCGATTTTAAATTTTTTTGTAAGAGGTATGGCTCTAATGCAAAATAATTTGATAGAAGATTGAAATCCTTGACAAGGGATGTTGCCAGGATAGGCATTTTGCATTTATAAGTAATTATTTATAATAATTATGAGTGACTGGATTTTTTTGGCCATAAAAGTACAATATTTTGTTATAAACTTATATAGAATGTTCAAAACATGCCCTTAGCAACCCCACCCCAATTCACCTCATCCCGCCCTAAATAAAACTGGAGGAGGCCAACTGATTAATTCTCCTCACTTACCATGTACATTTGTAATAACTTTTAGCTTTTATTTTTACTTTTATGGTTTTTGTTTTCAAAATTATTTTTGCAGGTTTAATGATGGTATTTGGGAGTGGTTTATGATATAGTTAAAAGTATTGTTTATGATGGTTTTTGAGAGTGGTTTGTGATATAACTGAAAGTATAGTTTTGCACAGTTGTCAAAATAACTAATTAGTTTTAATGTATTTGTAATTTCTGAATCTAATATAAAAAAAGGATGATTTAGGAGGATTAGCTTAAGAGTACGTGGCGAAGATAGTGACGGCAATGATTTTCAATTATGATACTATGCAAAACTTCAAAATAAAATTGTTTAGGTAAAAATATCTGACTTTGGCTTTTGCGCTCAAATTAGCAACGAAATTCCTAAGAGAAAATCGCTAGTTGGAACTCCATATTGGATGGCTCCAGAGATAATATCAAGAGATTCCTATGGCACCGAGGTTAATAATCTTTTTTTTGATAATTGAAATATTTAGTTAGTAATAAAACAGTATTAAGGCGCTAAAAACCATCAAATTAATCTGTGAGGTTTTGTTCTGTTCTGTTTTACATGTTTTGAATGCAATTTCTTATTTAATGATTTTAAGTCTTTAAACTAACATAGTAAAGACAATGTCTTTTAAAATAATAAGACAACAATTATTAATAAATAAAAAATTGAAAAAATAAATTTTAGAAAAATAAATTTTGTAAAAATACTAAAATTGTAATCTTATTTTTCAAAAAAAGACACAAATTATAGTTTTTAACTGTAGTATATCTGTGGGTTTTTTTTTGTGACATCTGTAAATATCAAATAATTTTTGGTAAAATAATTTATTTTGAGCCATTGGCTATTTTTTATTGCTCATTTAATCAGCTTTTATTTAACAGGGTTACTTGTTAATCTAGGTTGATATTTGGTCATTTGGAGTCATGGTGGTTGAAATGGTTGATTCAGAGCCACCTTATTTTAGTGAGACACCATTATTGGCCATGAAAAAAATACGTGACCAAGATGCACCTCAAGTTAAAGATATTGAAAAAGTACTAATTTGAAAGATTATAAAAACATTAAAACATTTTTTTGTGGTTTATCACAAACTACTAATACTTTTTATAATTTTTTTTCAATTGCATTTTTATGGATTTTGCTTTTATAAAAAGGTTTATATTGTTTAGATATCACCTCAGCTAAAATCATTTATAGAATCTTGTTTGCAAAAAGACCCATTGCAAAGGTCATCTGCATCCGATCTTCTCAAACATCCTTTTTTACGCAACATCTGTTCTACTGCAAATATTGTTTCCCTTATTAAAGAATATTTACATACAGAAAAGAATAGTTCATGTTGATTCATAGTATAGCTTGATGTATGTTATGGTAATTTTTTTTTATATAATATTATAAAAATTATAGTTGTTAATTTGTATTATATTTTTATATTTATACTACTTTTTATCAAATATAATGAGTTAGATACTCATTAAGAGTTAGATTTAAACAAAAATTCTTAGTTATCAAACACACACATATTTAGTTGTGTATTAAAATTTGACTTGATAAAGTCATAATGAAGTAGTTGTTTCAGTACATACATTGACTGCTCAGTGTAGTTAAGGAAATATCAGAACGATTAGGATTTCTTAAAAACAAAAATTTACATTTTAAAACTTTAATTTTTTACGTTTTCTGCTTATTTTTAACTATTACTGTTATATATTTTAAAAAAATAGAATTTAAGGGTTTTTTTATGTAATGTATTATTTTTTTATAAATCTTTTTTTAACCAAAGCATCAAGCAAAACTACTACTAAAATACATAAAACGCAATGAGACAGCGTCATAAAAACAACTGAAACAAATGTATTAGGTATTTACATTTCAAAAATGCCTCTTTTTTTCGAAAGTAAAAAGTCTCCTTGTTTACAACATTAAATTATTCAATAAATGACTAAAAACTTCTTATTTTATCTTTCCGTAAACAGTAAAAACATTAAAATCGAAGTTTTCAGATTAGTTTGCACTCGTAACAATTTGCTTCCATAATCTCTTTTTAGTCGTTTGAATAAATTACTAAACAGAAATGTTTTAGCTTTTAAATAACTTCTGCCCCATAGTATTAAGCTAAAACTTCAAACTCATATTTAATAAATTCACTGAATATTTGTAAACAATACAAAACAACGAACTTCGTTATTTTTTTTTAAATAAACCAATCAAAACGCACACAAAATAAAAAGGCATTTTTTGAAAATGAAAGGGCCTAAATGCTATATTTTTCTTTGGATCTCTCCTTAACTACGTTGAATTTGAGTTTAGTTTGGTAGGCACATAATTTGTCACAAAATTATAGTTGAAAAAAAAAGTACAACACAAATAGATTACATATTTGAAACCACCATACCTTGTTTAGTTCTAACTTAGACTTTAAAAATATTCAGTCATGTCCAAAAAAATTCCTATTTAATTATCAAACATATATGCAAAAGGAGGTTAAATAAACAAAAAGGTATTATAAAAAAGTAGTAGATCTAAAAGTGGTTTTATTTGGTAGATCTAAAAGTGGTTTACACAATCATGATAAGATGCAGCAGATAAATTTTGCTTTTTTAATTTTGTTTCTTCAAGTATTTTTGTAATTACTAGCTGATAATCTAATTGTTCCAAGCTTCTATATTCACCTTGAAATTCAAAATTTTGAAATTCATCATTGCTATACACCAAGAAAAATGAAGAGTTGACATTAGTTTTTCTTAAAAAATATTTTGGCCAACTTTATATAAAAAGCACAAAATATGATTTTTGGAATTTGCATAGGATTCTTGTAAATTATCTCAGAGTACAGTAATAATGAATTTTTAAACACCACCATCTTTGTACTTTTTTAACAAATACCTTCATCACTGAACCTTTTTGTTAGTTATTTTGCAATGATCTAAGATACTCGAACAAATTTAAAAAAATCTAGCTCCAACACCAATCCTAACTTTATGCTACATATTCTGAAAAAACTTAGTGCATTGACCTCCTGTGTGTCACTGAGATCATGCTCATTATTTTGTTACCTTCATTTGTAGGAATCAGTGAATCACTAAATCGCTGTCTTTGTACATTATTGGAATTTCTTCTTGTTGCAACCTCGATTAAATTACACTGTTTTCTAAACTTTTTTTTAAGTGTATTGGAACACTGCGTTTTTGGACCAATGACATTCTCTAGAAAAAGTTGTACATTTCTATAAAAATATACAACTTTTTCTAGAGAAAAAAGTTGTACATTAAATGTACCAAAAAAAAGAAATTAAATTTTATACACTTTTTATTACATAACAATTTTAAATTACTAAAATTAAATTCGATTACCTAATTAATATTAGTTCAATTACCTAATTAATATTATTTATGCTTATCTAATTGTGTAGTTCAATATATAGTTGTTACAATAGGTTTTCTCTTCTCTCTGTAATACAACAGGTGTGTGTATTCTGTGTAATTCTTATTAATAACAATAAAACATTTTTTACAAATTTGAATTGGTCCAGGAGAAGAATTTTCAAGTTAAGTTTTAGTCTTCATCTTTTTGTATATATTTGATCTACTTTGATGTTAAACTGCTTGTGGCAATAAAACATATATTAAACTGGCAAAACTGTTGATTTCTGGTAACAATGGTATCTTTGATCTCAGAGAAATTATATTATTCATCTATTAAGCTGGTTCAGATGTATTTTTGATACATTGTTTCCAGTTTAGGATGTTGAATGCTGGATCTTCTTGACTCAATGCATGGGCTTTGCTTGTGTCACTGTTTTTCTGATTAGGCAACTCATTCTATTATCTCCTAATGAGGGTACAGCTCTAAAACTCAGTTTTATGGTTCTAAGGCCGACTGGTAGTCAGGTTTCCCGAACTCTGTGTCTTATCTCTTGCAAAGTTCACCAGACCTACTTGCTCTTTGTTTGACTAATTTGAGTTCAGCTGTCTCATCTTGTGTTCTTAGTGTTGATGGTTATCTTCCTTTAATTCGTAAAGATTCCAATAGTCACATGCTTAGCCTGGACATTTACATTCGTAACAATTCACCCATTTGTCAGGAAACTAGGTTGAAGTATCTCCTGTACTTGATTCTATTAAAATTAATTTTTTTTAATTATCAGCTCTAAAGCATATTTTAATAGTTTAGTAAAGCATATAAATAGTTTAGTTTACAAACCTGCATGCCTCCTTTGGAATTTTTTTTCACTTTTCTAAATTTAAATATAAAAATTATTTTGCTCAAAACATTTTTAACAAAACTTAAAATAATATATTAGAATTTTCAAATAAAATTTCAATTCAACAAAAAGATTATTTTTGGAGAGCTGGTCCTTGGAGTTTTGCCTTGTGAAATGCTTTTTCAATAACATTACTAGAATATCCACATTCTTTTAGACATGTTTTTTGCTCTGCTAAATTTTTTTTTTTTTGTCGTAATTAGAGGTGAATCTTTTAAAAAGATTATAAGGAATGTTCTTTTTTATGTGATATGGATGATGGCTGTTATAGTATTTGTGAGAATTGGTTTTTTTATAGTATATACCAGTATTTATTTTATTGCTGTTTTCAAGAATGATTGATATAAGAAATTAATCATGTTAAAAGTGTACCATTTTTTATAAATTCTTTGCCAAGGTCTGTTGGGAAACTAATTAAATTATCTAATTCATTTAAAGAATTTTTAAACTTAATGATGTCCAAATGTTTTAGTCATACTATGAATCCATCATCAGTATATCTAAAATATAATTGATTTATGTAATTAATTTCTTTTTTGAAAAAGTATTTAAGTAAAATTTTAAGAAAAAATGAATTTTTGGAAAAGTATTTAAGTAAAATTTTAAGAAAAAAGAAAAAATTAGGTAAAATTTTAAGAAAAATATTTTGGGACAATGGTTTGGTGGAGCTTATATTTTTTTCATTCTTCATTTTGTTCATTTTGTTAAAAAATCATATGAATTTAAGTTGGCAACCAAGGCGATTAAGGCTTATCTATATCGTATATAGATAAGCCTTGATCACCTTGGTTGCCGACTTAAATCTATATGATTTTTTAAATGTACAATGTGCAAATATAAAAATATGTATCATAGATATATTTTTATATTTATGCAAATATATACACTTATATTATAGCGTATATTACGCTATAATATAAGTGTATATATTTGTATTTATGATATATTTTTTTATATTTGCACATTATACATTTAAATTAACAATAACACTAGTAGTTTGCAAAGAAATCAAAGGTTAACATTTATGTTCCTTTTATATTTTTATCAATTTTTTATAATCTATTCATGTTTTTTTGTTTTTTTAATTTTCTTTCTGTCTACTTTTAAAACTTTTAGCTTTTTGTTCAGCATTGATGAGCTTCTGCTTATTATTGAATGAGACTTTCTGATTTTAGAAGCTTATTGTAGATGAATTTTATCTTCAAAAACAAGGACAGTATTATAGTTGTGGGTGCCGATAACAAGGTCTAATCAAAGAAGTTGTTGCATTTATGATAGTTTAAAGAAATCTTTTCTCTTTATTATAAAAGCAATGCCTAATACCATAAGCAAAATAAGTCAAAATAAGTAGTTTCCTAAAAAATGTTTATGTGGACTAAGTTGTTTTTAATTTGAAACAGTCCACCATTTTTGAAAAATGCTAAGAAAGTCAGAAGTGTCTTTTTGTTTTGAAAAATAACTTTCAAGACTTGCTAATTGTTGTTTGACTTTTGTGTTGGTGTAAATATTTTTTATGATATGCATTTGAGGCTTCTCTACATACATTGACTGGCATCTAGGTAGAACATGTAAGGGAATGTTGCTACATTTACTAAAGGTTAGTTAATGTAACAACACTCCCTAACTAAAATTGTTTTTTGTTTTTTGTTCTTTTCCTCGAAATTTAGTTGCGCGTTTTAAAAATTAAAATGCACAAAGTATATTAGTAATTTGCCTTCTTAGATATATATTATATATAAATACATACATATACCACAAGGTTCCATTTTTGGTCTAATGTTTTTACTCATTTAAATTCTTCCAGACAATCTTTAAAGTCCTGATAAAAAAAACTCCTTTAATTTAAGTTTTTTTAGACTTTAATTCATATCAAATATCCAATCCATTAAAATTTAGCATCTGCTGAGGTTTTCTTATCAAGTCTGCTATTTTTCTGCTCCTGGTTCCATTTTTTATCTCTAGAAACTTTTTAATTTTTTTTTGTATGGAGTATTGTATTTACAATAGGACTGGTTCATCTAATGATACTCTTTTTCCTTTAAAAAAGGTCTAAACCCGCACTTGAAAATGTAGTTCGACTTGTTTTAGCTGCTAAACCTTTGTCTAATGGTTCTAATAAATAACTTTTTCTCTTACAATGATTACTGCTTAAACAGTATTTTCATTGATACTATTTTTAGTGTTATTACGACTTTTAAATAATTCGACTAAATTGGCTAATAAATTTTAGTCAATTAAGTTAATTTTAAAAATGAATAAGTTGATTTTATTAAAATCAACTTATACATCAATAAAATAGATAAAATCAACTTTTACATTTTTAAAATTAACTAAATCGATTAAAATTCGGTTTAGTCAAAATATGAAATAATTTTTTTTTCATTGTAATAAAAATAATAAAATAGTTTATATTAAATTTTGTAATTGTTTAACGTCATATCATTTAAATAATAATGGAGAAAAACAAAATAAGAGTAGGGCCGCTTCGAACTAATTTCGATTTTCAACGAGTCAAGTTTTAGTCGATTTAGTCAAAGCTGTCAACAACACTATTTTTAAAGTTTTTGAGTAGTTTTAATTATTTTGTTTATTAGTGTAAGATAATATTTTATTTTTTATTTAGTTTTATAAATAACTTTTTTTGAAAAACTTTTAGTAGCTGTTGTAAATGATAAAAAGAAAAACAGGTTAAAGGGTTTGTTGATAAAGAGATTGTTATTTTTTGTTGAATCAAATCACCAGATTATGAATTAATCTAATGATAAATCTTTACCTTAAATCTTTTTTTCAACTGAGTATTTTTATCGTGATAGTGCCGTAGGAAAATTACCATTCAAAGTTCAACACACTCCTTATATAAATATATATATATATATATATATATATATATATATATATATATATATATATATATATATATATATATATATATATATATATATATATATATATATATATATATATATATATATATACACACACGAGCAACAAAATTAATTAAAACGAAATTTTAGTTATTTAACACAAATATTCAGTGTTTCATCCCTCCCCTATTGTTCATAATTGATATATGTACACTTATTTTCCTATGGGGGCATCCATAAAGTACGTACGCAGTAAAACCACTGGTTTAGGACTCCCTCCCCCTTTATACGAACCTGTACAAAGGGGGAGGGAAGACAGACCTTTCCCCCCCCCCTCCTTGTACGCGTTCGTACGCTTTTGGGAAACCCCCTCCCCCCACACCTGCGTACGTACTTTATGGATGGCCCCTATGTACCCATGTTCATATGTTTGTCACCTTTTTAATACACTTAAGTTATAATTTTTTTGATTTATCAAAAGAGGTACTGCATTAGAGGAGGCTCGTCATTGTTTTTTTAATTGTTGTTGCGTTTCTTTTTTTTAATCTATTTTTCTGAAATAAGTTTGTGCCTGATAATGTCACACTTTTTTTTATTTCAAATAGTTACGTGAGTGTTTATTAAGTATATAAACGTATAAATATAACAAACTTGGTTTAGTTTAACAATTTATTTTTAGCACTACTTATGTATTTGATATTTTAGTACTTCACTTAAAAATTAAATATGTATTAGAATAACCAATTTTTAAGTATACAAATGATTTATTTGAAAAAATTAAAAAACAAAATAATTGTTAGAAATTTTTTTAGGTATTATGTTTCTTAGTGCCCATGTGTTGTTTCAGACGCATGAAGCAATGTTTATACTCGCCCATTTTTCATGCAACGCTTGATAGTTGCTGAGCAATTATTTATTTATGAAAATATACTTGCAACTTTTTTTAAGAAAATCTTTGCGTTTTGTTCGTTTTTTAGTTTGTAACTTTTTTTTTTTTTTTTTTTTTTTGTCTAAAAATGGAAAAATAGGTTTCGAAATTTTATTTGCAGTAATTCTTGAAATCATTTATTATCATCATAATTAATTGTTTAACTAAAAGTTTAACTAAAGAATGTAGCTGCTTTTTTTTGTTTATTAGACTAATTAACTTGACCTTTTTTTAGTTTGTATTTTGTTTTTAGTTTATTTTGGTTTTGATGTTTTATTTGTAAATATTAGAATTTTTTTTTTATATATTCTTTGTGTCACGCAATAATTTTAAATAAATTCTTAAATCGTTTTTTATCTGACGGTTTTTGAAAAACTTTGGTGACGAAGACATCTTTCAAAATATTTTTTGGTTCTAATGTTTGTAAAAATTATTATTCGTAAAAGTACTGACCCAATTAAACTGAATGTGTTAGAAACGTGGAAAAGAAATATGGAAACCTTTGTAAAATGTTAAAAATAAAAAGATAAAATATGGTAAGGAAGGAGGTGTGAACTTCTAATTAAATGCTCTTCCGCGGGTCTCAATGATAAGACCGTAAGGACTTCTGGGAGTACCTAAATAACCTTTAAAAAAAAAAACGCTCTTTTTTCGATCCCGGCCAATGGTAAAGAAAAACATACTGCTGAGGCTTGTTTTTTGTAATTTTTAAGCTTTTAATTTATTCAAATGATTTTTATCGTTTAAAATATATTCTGTGCTTAAATAACTTTTTGGGTTTTTTTTGCTTCTCTTAAAATCTCTCTTAAAAACTTAAAATCTCGTAACCTAAAAAAAAACGTTTTGATTTAAATTTTGATTGTTTTATATAGATTGCGGAATGTAAATTTTTATTATTTTTTTGAATATTACGCCTCCCAGGTGGGAAATGAGCTAGCGACAAGTTAGCAACTAGCTTTATGGCAATTTTTGAACGATTTTCTGTTTCTCACATTGTTCTTTCATTTTGTCTTTTACGTTTTAAAAATTAAATTTTTAAACTTAGATTTAATATATTTAGGATAATAATTGAACTTTAATGCAGCCGTGGCGTAATGTTTAGAGTTCTGGCTCAGAACCAAGAGGTCCGGGGTTCAACGCTGGCTCTAACCTAATAAGCGGAATTGGAAGGAGGAGTGAACTTCCTAGTTAAAAGCTTTTCCGAGGCGGTCTGAGATTAGACTGTAAGGACTTTAAGGAACACCTTAAATCAAATATATTCTGAATATAGTTGTTTTATATATCAAGGATATTTACAAATAGTAATTTGTACTAATATAAAGTAAACACCTGTCAGACTAAATAAAAATAAGATTGAGATATTAACAGTAATTATAATACAAGTAGAAATAATAAAGTAGTAGTAGTGATTATAGTAATAAAAAAAAATAATAGTAGCGATTATAAAAAGTATATACTATAATAATAACAACAACAATAATAATAATATTCATTATGATAAAAATATAGTAATAATAACAACAATAGTGATAAAGAATACTATTGAAACATTTCAGTCTAAAATAATAAATTATATTAAAATTAGTAATATACCACAATAGAAAAGAGAAAAAATAATAGATGCATAGAAGCTCCGCGTTAGGGTTATAAATACCAAGTTGTAAAAAGATATAAAGATTTATAAACTATTTTTCTAAAATATGGTTAAAGAGAGCAGTTTTAAATTTTGAGAATGATTTATGAGATTTTATTTGGGAAGAGAGATTGTTCCAGGTTCGTATGCTTTTATGTTGTATGAATTCGTAGCCGTAATAAACAGTTCGGTATTTAGGTACAGATAACTTAAAAGCAGATCGAAGAATATATTTACAATTTTCCCTATAACTAAAAAAGTTGATAAACGTAAGAGGTAGGTTATTATGATTTTGGTTAGAAACAAATAGGCAATTTGATAGCTGAATAAGGTCAGGTCATACAATTTAAGGACTTTAGATAAAAAATAAAGTATGCTACAGTTCGAATTAGTATGTTGGAAGTAAATTAATTTTAGAGCTTTGTTTTGGAGATAAGTTAGGCTTAAAAAAGCAAGCTGCTTAGATTGTTCCCAAACTTGGCAAGCATATCTGAGATGAGAGTGAAAAATAGCATGGTATATATTAAGCAAAGTTTCATGATTAACATAATGACAAGTTTTAGCTAAAATACTATTCGATCTATGCTAAGTCTTGAAGATGCGATGCAAAAGATAAATTAGAGTCTATATTGATTCCAAGATATTTAATAGAGTTAACTGGATTTATTTTCTGCCCAATTAATCTGAAATTTAATTACTTATTTATTTTTGTTTGATCAGATTTAAATATAATAATTTCCGTTTTTTTACAGTTAAAAGATAATTTATTGGAGCGGAGCCATTGAACAACATTAGCTAGATCGTGATTCATATTTTTGTTAAGTTTTTTAAGTGATTTGTTAGTTAGGAGTAAGTTGGTGTCATCCGCAAAGTGATAAGCAGTAGAAAATTTAAGGGAAACATTTAAATCATTGATAAAAATAAGAAAAAGTAATGGACCTAAAACCGAGCCTTGCAGAACACCATTAAAAGGTTTAGCTAGTCCTGAGTTGATACCATTAATTGAAACAAATTGCGTTCTATTACAAAGATAAGAGGAAAACCAGAGAAAACCTTTTATACCGTAGTGTTTCAGTTTTTCTAGGAGGATTGTGTGCTCAACTGTATCAAATGCTTTTCTTATGTCAATAAACACTCCACACGCAAAGTGTTTATTATCGATGGCTTGTCTAATTTTCTCTGAAATTTCTTTTAACGAATGAGTTGTTGAGTGTTTGTTGCTAAACCATACTGGTGTTTGTAAATAAATTTATGTTTTTCCAAAAAATGGTTGAGTCTTTGGAACATTGCTTTTTCAAACAGTTTACTTAAGTTAGAAAAAAGTGAAATAGGTTGATAATTGGAGTAGTCTATATAAGAACCCATTTTGTATATAGGACATACTTTGGCTACCTTAAAAGCTTCTGGAAAAATACCATTTTTGAAAGAGTTATTCATGATAGTACATAGAGGTTTGGAGATTATGTGAGATACCAGCTTTAGTGGAAATGTTGGCAGACTATTGGGACCAAGGCTTTTATTATTTTTAAGAGTACCTTTTATGAGATTCGCCACCTCATTTTCAGTCACGGGATCAATGAAAAAAGAATTAGTACTAGGTAGGTAAAGAAAATATATAAAAAACAAAAACAAGCCAGTAGAGTTATATGTAATATGCATAAATGTGCCCACGCCAAACCGTTACTCCGTGAAATCAAAGCTTTAAACGTCTATGAGTTAAATTTGTACCAAAACCTATTATTTATGTTTAAATATCAAAACGACATGCTTCCTAAACTTTTTAACAATCATTTTTCAATTATTTCTCATAAATACTTAACGAGGTGCTCTATTCACAATTTTAACATACCTAAGTCAACATTAAAAAAACAGATTACTCAATTTCATAAAGAGGACCTCGTCTATGGAACAGAATTCTTGACGACAAAATAAAAAGTATAACCTTAATACAATCTTTTAAAAATGTAGTTAAACAGAATTTGCTCGACTTAACAGATACAAATATACTTTTATATTTTTAGTTTTAAAATTTAATTTTTTTTTTTACGTTACTTATTTGTTTTTCTTGCTGTTTTTTTTTTTTTTTTTCTTTGCTTTTTACTTTACTTTTGAAGTATTTTTATCTTATTACAATAAAGTTTATATTTATTTGCTTTATATAATGAGTATTTGTATATAATGAGATAATGACACAAAAAAAAAAATAAATAATTATTATATATATTTTATTTCTATATTTTACTTTAGAAGTCTTATTATAGTATAGCTATTTTTAACTTGCTATATAAAATGATTATTTATTTTTTTGTTGAAAAAACTTGTAAAGCTAATCTTTTAAATTTCTTTACTTTATTTATTTGGTTTAGCAAATTTTATTTTATTATTGTTATTTTAACTTGCTTTATATAGTGAATATAAATTATTATATTTTATATATTATGGATACTTTGTAAAAAATATATCACGCAAATTGTAGGCCCTACAATTTGCGTGATATATTTTTTACAAAGACATAAGTCTTGTCGTCAAGCCCCTACAATGTAGGGGCTTGACGACAAGACTTATGTCTTTTACTTGCTCCTGTCATTCTTTATATTTTGATTTATTTTATTAAACTTGGAAACGAGAACATTGTAAAATGCTTATATATGACGAAATAAATAAATAAATACAAAATAGGTATTTTAAGAAAGTTGCCAAAAATACATTTAGAGGGAACAGTATATTTAAGTAGTTCGTCTTGAATAGTCGCAAAATAATTATTAAATATATTAGCAACACTGGTATGATTTGAGATGACATTTTCATTGATTTTGAGATTAAAAGATTTAGTACAAGTAAAAGGTTTGATGTTTATAATTTCCTTAATTCCTTTCCAGGTATTCTTTACATTATTGATGTTGTTATTGAAAAAAGATGCATAGTACAATTTTTTAGAATATCTTAAGAAATTGCTAATTTTATTTCTGTATAACTTAAATTTAGTAAATAACATATTTTTGGTATTCACATTTTTTGATCTAGTAAATTTTTTAATAAGTATGTTTTTATTAGAAATAGATTTAAGAATACCAGAAGTTATCCAGGGTTTAGATTGAAGTTTAATTTGCTTTTTTGTTAATTCTTTGTATGGAGCATATCGGTCTAATATTTTTTCGAATGTTTTAAGAAAAAAATATATAGATTTGTTTATGTTATCATCGTCTTTTATGAGAAGCTCCCAGTTAATATCGGAAATTTCTTGGATAAAAGAATCAGAATCAAATTTTTTAAAGCTTCTTTTAAACATTTTTACTTTTTTTTTAATGGGTGGGTTATTAGGAATACAGACAAATTGTGCCATGTGGTCAGAGATTGAAATTGTAAGATTACCAGAGACTATA